CAGTAGCTACGTTGGTGTGACACCTTGGTATGTACCGATATCCCTTGTGTTGGAACGAGGAGAATATGGGTCTTCTGAGGAGTCATTAAGCACCAACTGGCCTTAGAACCTTAAATTGACCAACTCGGCTATAGAACAGTAGCAGTATGCTACACTCATTGAGACTAAACTCTCGCGATGGTTCCGGCCGCAAGAAAAGGTTGCCAAACTGGAATTATGACCGATTGAGGGTAGTCAGTGATATTGAGATCCTCTAGAACCCGGTTACTATTTTTAGGACAAGTCTTAACCAACTGAAACTGAAAGAGGGTAGTACCTAAACTTCATGCCAGCCTGAAATCTAAGGGCTCTTTTGTGTGACTTGTGTGCCTTTTCCATGTTTGCCTTTTGTGAATACCTGTGGTGTGCCTTTACCATGTACATAATATCATAACACATCATAACATCATACCATAGCATTTTCCTTAACCATTTCAAAGATCTCAAGGGCTTGTGATGCAGGTTATGATAAATCAATTGTCTAGCAAGGGGCAAAGGGGATTTATTTTCCTCTAGCCAGGGTTGTTTGGAGATCAAAACACGATAACTTGAGTCATGGGCTATGACCCACTCGATATGGTGAGCTTGACTCTTGAAAAATTCAAACATGCATTGTGTAAGCCAATTATGCTCACTTGTATTAACCAAATTGTTATGCACTCAGATTTGAATTATCTCCATAGTAAGCTTAGGGGGATCCTATTATGTTTCCCCAACGGAGTCTGTTTTGATTTACCACCAGTCGAGTCTTTGGTATTTCCCATTTCCCTATTAAGTCATGGTTTTCTCTTGCCCTTGCAAGCCTTTGGTTATTTTACCCGTGTTTGCTTTTTCCGCCAGAGTGCAAGTAAGAGTCGGTGTATAACCTTTCTTATTTCTCAAGTATTTGATTATTCATACTTGGTGTGTGGTAATTCAAATAATTTCCACTTTTGAAGAATTACACCCCGCTTCTAGCCTGAGGGATATTGTAGTTCTTGCGCATTTGCAACCTATCGAAAGCCCAATGTGTTTTGGTAATCCTTGTTAGAGCCCCCTTTGGTTGGTCTCTTTCTCTTGTAGAGTTCACCTTCGCTCGGTGCTCTCTAAAGGTCCTTCTTATTCGGTTCCTTGATTTTGGTTTATCTGTGTTAGTCGGATTCTCCTTCTATTAGCTTAACTAACCTTCTTTCTTAAGATTCCTTCAGTGTCTCTTCAAAGTCCAGTTGTCTGGAATCCTTGTTTAGGCGAATGCGTCCTTTCTTGTTAGGGCTTTCTTCAGTAAGTCTCTTTCTTGTGTTTGCTATCAACTCCGAACATTTGTTTCTTGATGCCTAATTTCACTTTTGTGTGTCTAACTCTGACCATACATGCATATCTTTATCCTCTGTGAATTCTCCCCCGATCGGCATTCTTTACCCGTTAAAATCCACCTTCGGCTGGTACCTTTTGTTAAGAGTCCCATTTGGCTGGTCTCTTTTCATTGTAAGTTCGCCTTTGATTGGCGTTCTTTTCTTAGGAATCTACTTTCGACATAGTATTCTTTGTTAAAGATTCCCCTTCGGTTGGTTTCTTTATCTTGAAGTCCACCTTCGGCTGGCACCCTTTAAATCCACCTTCGGCTGGTACCTTTTGTTAAGAGTCCCCTTCGGCTAGTCTCTTTTTATTGTAAGTTCGCCTTTGATTGACGTTCTTTTCTTAGGAATCTACCTTTGGCTAGTATTCCTTGTTAAAGATTCCACTTCGGCTGGTTTCTTTATATTGAAGTCCACCTTCGACTGGCACCCTTTAAATCCACATTCGGCTGGTATCTTTTGTTAACAGTCCCCTTCGACTGGTTTCTTTTCATTGTAAGTTTGTCTTTGATTGGCGTTTTTTTCTTAGGAATCTACCTTCGACATAATATTCCTTGTTAAAGATTATCCTTCGGCTGGTTTCTTTATCTTGAAGTCCACCTTCAGCTGAAACCTTTTAAATCCACCTTCGGCTGGTACCTTTTGTTAGGAGTCCCCTTCGGCTGGTCTCTTTTCTTTGTAAGTTTGCCCTTGATCGACATTATTCCCCCTTTAAATCCACCTTCGGCTGGTATAATTTGTCAGGAGTCCCCTTCATTTGGTCTCTTTTCTTTGTAAGTTCGCCTCCGATCAGTGTTCTATTCAGAGTCAATGTATATTTGTATCCCTAGTAAGTTCGTCTTCGATTGGAATTCCTTTGTTAGAGCTTTCTTCAGTCAGCCTCTTTCTTGTGTATGTCTAATCTTGACATGATATCCAAGATATTTACCCAGATGACTACTGCAATAAAAAAAGCAAAAAAATAAGAAGAAAAATACAAAAAACTAAAAATATAAAAATATCTGACTGGCTTCGGAGTGCAAATTTTCGGGTTCTTTTAGTATTTAATCTTCTTCCACGTTGAAAGTTCGAATGGCTAGCACCAATCTCAACTTCAGGTTGAAGACGATTAAATAGGGGCAGTTGTTGCACCCCAAAATTTTCCCTCCTAATTTCTTTTATCTGGCTTAAACTTTTGCTTTCGTCTGCATATATTTCATTAGGCCACTAACATGGCATGCATCACATTCAATAAATACCCTGAGGTTTAAAAGATCAGCTGATTGAGCAAGTTAGGGTTTTCAGTGATTAAGGTATATATATTCAATAAAGTTTATTTCCTCTGGTTATTCATCAAGCAGTAAAGTGTGGAATTAGGGTTGGGATCTATGGTTATTGAGGTTTCCATTCTCTTCAAGCTATTGGGCTATTACTCATTCAAATTCATTCAAGGAAAGAATTAGAGTTTTTCTCTACCAAGTTGGTGCTTGTCAGCATTTCACCAACTAAGGTTCATTGGGTTTTTATGTCAAGGTCATCTTGGTCATATTTCTTTTTGTATTCCCATGTTCATTTTCAAGTTATTCTACAAGTCCGCCTAAGGGCTACTAAATCAGGCATTCATCATCTCCTTGTACTCACCATCATCCTTTGATTAGGGTTTATTTCTCTAAATCATGTACCATTCAAAAGAGGTTTCTCTGTGAAGTTGTGATCATCAGGCAAGGCTATCATCAGAGGATATCTTCCATGAATAACTAGGGTTTCATTTGATATATCTTTGGCAAATAAGAAAATCATTGCTTGAATCTCAAGTCATGTGGGCACGAGCTTTATTCCAGAGAAGAATATTCAATTGGACCTTCTTCACGAATTAGGGTTTCTATACCTTATGATGCAAAGCTCTTCATCTGGTCGATTGGCTTACTTATGATATAATCTACTTTCTTCGGATTTCGTTTCAATGCCTTGAAAACAAAATATAAAGCTTCTATGGAAGATTAGGGTTTTAAATTAAAGACATGAAGACATTTAAGCATGGATTCATTCAATTTGATTTAAGGAAGCTTAGATTCGTTCATTTGAAGATATTCAAGCAAGAGAGTTCATTTAAATTGATAGGATGCGAGACATTGGGATTTCACAAACATAAGGTCAAAGAAGGTGTACTCAATTATCCAACTACATTTCAAAACATGGACAAATCCAAAGATCCATTCAAGTCACTACCTTCGCCTATTACATAAACAAATTACACAAAACAAGTTACATTACAAGAGGATGCCATACACCATGTTACGTTAATTTGCTACAAAGGCATAGAAGTATTACAATTCCAATCAAGTTTTGTAATATCCAAAAACCATTACAAGTTCAAACTATTTCACATACATCAAAAGCTACCAAAAAATCTTGTTTCTAAGCCTAATACATAATGTTCATCTTCGTTTCCAAAGCCTTTTTTAGACTATCTTGAAGTTTCCTTTCCAGGCCTACGATATCATCCTTGAGTCATGCTCCATGCCATTCCATAAGAAAAAACCTACAAAATTCAATGCAATGCTTAGTCATATGCACCAATCCAAGGCAATTCAAATGAGAAAATCATGACCAACCCTGCTGCGACTTTTGAACTCGTGCCATACATTATCAAAGCAGCTTGCCACCATTGAAATCCAGTTCATAAAACTTGTAAATGCCCAAAATAAATAAAAATCAGAAACAACTTACTCCATTCATTACTCCATCCGATCTGCAAACTGACTAACTACTTCACAATCCCAAAATTAACTGAATGCAAAAAAGGAAACAAAAGGGAAGGGTGCTCAGTGAAGTTTCATCACTAAATCTCGTACCATGAAGCTCATGTTTAGACGTGATACATCAGAAAATGCAAAGGAGAGGAATTATAAAAAAACAAAGGAAATCGAGAATCAAATAGACCAAATTAAAACCAGCTCTTCGGTATTACTAACAACTCACATCAAAACTAAAAACAGTTGACAGAACTTTAACAAACTCTCCAGCTGATCTCTAACAGAAAAAACAAAATCCCTAACTACTTCTAAACTGTCATAATAGAAATCCAAGTCCCATTAACTGATTTAACCGAACGAAGCCTCACCATTCACTTTTTAACTAACTAATCAGAATCAAAGGTTGAGATTCACTTACCTATAACTAACTCTAACTACATATATAAACCTTCTTCTAAACCAATCTTCTGAAGATTCTTCATTTTTTTCACGAGAGAATCACCACCAAAAATCAGAAAAATCTCTCTCTTCTCTCTGCTTCCAATCTTTGGATTTTCTCTGCAATATTCTACTGCATCATCTTCATCTTCTACTCCAGGTATCTTTGAGCTACTACACAACGTCATCCTTAATCATCATCAACACTTCAATTCTCTATTCTCTGCAAGAATCTTCACCGGTTCCTCAATCATCTTCAAATTTCCAACATCATCGCCATCACGCGTACTCCTTCTCTCTGCATCAACAAACAACACCATAACACTGATTCACGAATCCTCAACACACAGAAAACACAGAGGAAATGTAACCAGTGGAAGAAGAAGTTCTCGAAAATGCTACACGTGAAGAAGTAGAAGATGAGTGTTACCTTTAGTTTTCTCGACGAATGTCGTCACCTCAAAAACTGAAGATATTGTATGCATCTTTGTTCGTTTTCTCCGATCGGGGGAGATAAAGAATGGTTATCACAGAAGTAGAAGAGAGAGTCGAAGCAGAAACACTGTTGATTTTGTCGAAACTGGAAGAAGGAGAAGATGATTGAGAGCGGTGAGGCCGGAGACCTGAGCGTCATCTTGCTCGCGCTGTTCGCGGATGATTGGGGGAATTCCAAATGTCACTGCAATTTGGGAACCCTAGACTTGGTTGTGCACCATTTCACCTCTTTGTCTGTATTATTACCTTGTTTTCATTTTTATCCAACAATAGAAAGAACATACAAATGCTGGTGGATCTGATGATGTTTGCGTGAGTGGACCAAACCCTTAAGCCCAGTGGCATTTTTTGGAGCCTGCAGTTGAATTCAGAAAAAACTTCTTTGGGCTCATACTACTAGGCCTAGCGCCCTGCTTCTTCTATGCCCAGGATTATTGGCTTGGACCCCTTGAGTTTATTCCTTTAATATTTTCTTTTTAAATAATTTTGATGACTGTTTAGTTTTGTTTGAACTCTTTCTTCGCATGATAAAAATAATAAAATCAAATATAAATTTGTTAGATTTTTTTATTTGGTTTTTGGAATTAAATCCCGATTGTCTGATTACTTGAGATTTGTAATTCACCTTTGCTTGTTGAGATTGGAGTCTTATGCAGGTTTATCGTGTGATATACGAACATGCTTGAGATTTCGATTGTGATTTTTTTTCACATCGATGATGCTTCGACACTTATTTCGAGTATTTAATTTCTGACTCTTTTCTTTGATTGGTGAAGCTTTCGCGAAGATTGTCGGGTTTCTTTATTTTGATACGCTTTGCTACGGATTTGGTATTTGTTTGGTATTTTCTCTTGTTCATCTCATTTCAGCACTTTATTGTTTTCTAGATATCATAAGAAGTAGGAACTTTACTGCTTTCTAGATATCATGAGAAGTAGGAAATAAAGAGTGTGCGCTCGAAGTCGCTGTTTAAAGTCCTGTAGCAGGCACCGCTTTCTGTATGCTATTTGTGTTTGTTTAAAATCCTACCTTTGAAGTAGGTATTCTGCATGTGTTTTTAAATTTGTGTATGCATTATATTACAGATGATAAGTCCTCAAAAGGAGGCGAGCAGGAAGGGTTCACAATCGACCCCCTCATAATCTATTCCATGACATCCTTAGCTCACGTTGTACATCGATGCTTTTGAGTCATGTAAATCTTGTGTATCGAGTCACTTATATGGAGAAGGGTTCACAACCAATCCCCACACTTTGTCAAGAGTTCGCAATGGCCATTGCTGATACTTTGTTATCCACTTGTTTGCTTCGGGTGATCCGCTCCCCTTAGCTAAAACATTGCTTTTCTTTTTTATTTCACCTGTCTCCCGCTTGTTTGCTTCGGGTGATACGCTCCCCCTAGCTAAAGCAATTTTCTTGTTTCCCCCATCCCTTTGAGTCAGTACGTGTTATTCATGTTTGTGTGCTTTTGTCAAAGCACTTATTTTCTTATTTGTTTGCTATACCATGCTTCCCTTAGGATCGTTCGATTAGAGTAGCTTTCGAGCTAGACATTAGGATAGTCTTCCTTAAATGTTTTTATTTCTTTTACATCCTTGCATTAAGACTAAAACTCTTTTCTTGAAAAAAGCATAAAACATCTAACAGCTTTCAAACCCTTCTTTAAGGTAAAAAAGTATCAACCAATACAAACTCTTTTTCACCTTCGGGCTTTTCTTTCAAACTTTTTCAAAAGAACATGTTAATTCACTTTTGTGCTGACGCGTGAGTCTCTAAAGGTCGAACTACGGCAGGAGGCGAAATAAATATTGTTCATTAAAAATACAAACCAACATAAACTTTTGAGCCGAACTATGGTTGCTTTGATTCCTTAAAAGGGATATGTAGGCATTAGGGTATGGCCCGAACGAGCACAACTTTATTTTCCATACATTTATTTTCTCTTTTCTTTTGCATACGTTCCCTCTTTATATTTTCTTTTAGCTCTTGAGCTTAGATTTGAAACACGCCCTTAGATTAGAACAACAAGAGTTGATACCATAGAGTACTACGGGCATGTGGGGTGCTAATACCTTCCCTTCACATAACAGACTCCCTTACCCGATCTCTTGATCGTTTGACCTTGATTTCACCCTTCTCAAGTTTACTCGATGTTTACCTTTCCCTTCCCGTGAGATAAAACACGTTCGATGGCAACTTCATTGATTTCATCTCGATGATGTGTTCATTCGGTTGTTTCAGTCCCTAAGGGAAGCACTTGTATTTTATGTTTGTTAAGGATCTCATGCTTCCTAATGTTAAGTAGTGGGATCTTAATAAAATTGGTAATCTTTTTTCTCCAGATGTTACTAACAATATTATACATGTACCACTTTTGGAGGATGTAACAGAGGGCAGTGTGGTTTGGAATGAGGAGAGGAATGGTGCTTATAGTCTTAAAACAGGGTACAAGCTTTGGTTGCAGGGGTGCCGTAATTATAAGGGTAGTGAAGTAGATGAAGATTGGCGAGGTATATGGAGTATTCATGCGCCTCATAAAACCAAACATTTTCTTTGGCGAATCTGTTGGGGTTGTCTTCCCACTAGAAGTAGGTTGAGGCAACACTATGTTCTGTGTCCTAATATTTGTCAATTATGTGAGGGAGGAGTGGAGGACGATAGGCATGTATTCGTTGATTGTGCTCCTGTATCTCACTGTTGAACCGTAGCAGGGTTAGCAAATGTGATTGGTCTGAGACTCTCTCTAAGGATTGATGCAAAGATGGTAATCCAAGATATTTGTAGCAATGAGGATAAGAAGGTAGTGGGAAGAGTGGCGGTTATGTTGTGGGTGATTTGGAATAATAGGAACTGTTGGATATGGAATGATGAGAAGAAAGATGCCAACCACTTGGGGATGCAACGGTACCATATGTGGAAGGATTGGTTTATGGCTCAAAAGGCTATCAATACTGGGAATAATAATGATCATCTGATAAATCCTCTTCATATGTGGCAGCCATCAAGAATTTGGTGGATGAAATGTAATGTGGATGTGTGGTTTAATAAACAGCTGGGAACGACTAATAGAGGTTGGTGCTTTCGAGATAATTTAGGAGGCTTTATTATGGAGGGTACCTCTTGGGATGTTGGAATCTTTTCTACCATTGAAGCATAGGTTTTGGCTTTGAAGGAAGCAGTTAAGTGAGCTATTGAGATGCAGTGGGATCATGTTATCTTTGAAAGTGACTCTCAATTGATCGTGTATGCTACCAATGCTATAATTTATGGTAGTTCCAAGTTTAGTATGATAAATAACTATTATAAAAAATCTTATTAATTCTCACCATAACTATGAGGTTAATTTTGTTAAGCGTCAAACAAATTCGATGATTCATAATTTAGCTAGGACGGTCAATTCTTAGTCTAAACGTATGATTTTACATATGATTCTTCTATGTATTGAATTTTGTTTGCATAATGTCATGAATTAAGTTTGTTTTGGTCACAAAAAAATTATTCAAATTATAATATAATTAGGAACATGCTCATATATATATATATATATATATATATATATATATATATATATATATATATATATATATATATATATATATATATATATATATATATATATATATATATATATATATATATATATATATATATATATATATATATATATATATATATATATATATATATATATATATATATATATATATATATATATATATATATATATATATATATATATATATATATATATATATATATATATATATATATATATATATATATATATATACTATTTTTATTTTATTGATCAATAAAAATATACTTATATATTTAATTGTTTATTTTGAATTAAAATAAATTATATTTTATTTAATTTTCTCTAGATAATTTTATTTAATTTTACATTTTAGTAAATTAGATTAATAAGTATTAAAACTATTTTAGTTTTATTATTTATTTTATTTTATTTAAAAATGTTATCTTTTAAATTGAGTTTGAGAAATAAGGGAGAGGAGACAAACCTTCCTTTCTCTAAAACCCTACCGCTACCACCACCCATTTCTTCACCGCTTTTTGACCATCACAACTCTCAACTGCACCACGATTTTCTTTCAAAATTAAAATATTATATCCTTATTACTTATTAAAATACTTATTTTTGTCATAGTAACATTCTCATTAGGCGGCAATCATATATTCTTCAATAATTTTGTTGAAGCATGAAAAAAATTTAATAATTTTTAATTGATAGAATCATATATTTTTACAATGTTAATATATATTAATTAAATTTAATAATAATAAAAATAAAAAATATAATTTCACAATTAAAATATAATATTAAGTATATTTTTTATAATTTTAAATATGTGACAAAATTATGTAACTTAACATCAATTCTATCATAAATTAATCATGAAGATACTTAAAAACCTAAAAAATATTAAATTAAGAGATCAAAAAGATAATCTTTTAAAAAAGATTAACACATTAAAATATCAAAATAAAATGGTAAAGTATATTTAAGTTTTTTTTCTACTAAAGAATACAAATATTGTAATGGAAAAAAGAATTAAAAACAAAATAAAGTAAAGAGCGAAAGTAAGAGTAAACTCTCGTAATAGAAATCGAGGGAAGAAGACGCGAGAAAGCGAATCGGGATATGTCATCTCACGGAAATGATCCACGTTAGTCATCGGCGGTGAAGCCATACATAGCCCCTGTGATTACTTTGTAAGACCTTCCGATTCGCCGTCATATTCAGCATCGCATCAAGTGTGAGCAATGGGAAAATAGTCTTATATTGGATAGAAATATCGAGATTAAATATATATATATACAAGTGAGAGAACTCACTCACCTATCACTTTAAGATTTTAGGTGGATAAGTGGTGTGTCTCTCACAAAGGTGTCTAGTTATACACTATGTATCAATGCTTTTAGTATCTCCTCTAACAGTGGTTGTGTCTCTCACAAAGGTGTCTAGACCTACACTATGTATCAATGCTCCTAGTATCTCCTCCAACATTGTATTCGTAGACCTCGTTTGACCTCGTTTCTTTCTCTCTTTTGATAACTATCTTCGTTTCGTTGCATTTGATTTGATTAACCTTATTGTTAATTTCTTTTGCAAAATTGG